GCGCCGCGGGGGTGGGGGGGGGGGGGGGGAGAGAAGACAGCCAGAGCTGAAGAGGTCCATTTCCCCCCCCCTTCCGGGGACTCCCCTCCCTTTCCTTCTGGAGTTGCTGTTGGCAGAGACACTCTGTGTGTGGGGGGGGTGTCTGTTTAGTGTGTGGCTAACTCAAGTAGTTTTGGAAGAGGCAGCCGTGTTAAGTCTGTCCAAGGAAAAGGGGGCAAAATCCAAAGAAACAACAACAAAACAAAACAAAAAAAAGGGCAAAGACCAAAACAGGTGGCCACTTAAAGACTATTACATTTTTAATGTGAGCTTTCGTGGACACGTCCACTTTGCCAGACAAATGGAAACAGAATGAAAAGCTGAATGAAATATCAGTTTCACACAAAATATTGATTGTCTGGAGGAAGGGAGGGAAGAAGAGAGGGAGGGAGGGGGGCAGTTCGGGGGGGAGGCATCCTCTGTCTTTCCCGCCCTGCCCCGCCTCACCTCCAGCATCTGGAACATGACCTGCTCTTGGCTTTTCTGGTGCAGGGTGGGATCCTTCTGATCTGGCATTTATGGCAAAGTTCTCTTGTTTGCTTGTGAAGGAAGAAGCTCGCTCAAGTTCTTAGGAATTCTTAAACAATGCAATGAGAAGCAGCTGGCAGTGAAACCGTCCTCTCCAAGGCAATTCCGCCTGTTCAGCAATCAGAGGAGACCCACTGAATCCACTGTTGGAGGGCCAATCCTCCCTTGGTGGAAATTCCCCTGGTTTGGTGGGCCTCCGCCAGGCAGGCACAACCCCTGGATTTAGGCTTGATCCTTGACTCCCAGGAATCTCTTCCTTTGTGGAAGAAGGAAGCCCTGCAGCGACTTCCCTTGAATTATCGCTCTCTTGTTCAGCTTCTCTCCTTGCCGGTTAAGGGCCCCCTTTGTCTCCACCCCACCCCTGAAGCTCATTGCCAGCTGCGCACCCCCCCCCAGGGGCTCCACCTTCTCACCAGCTTTATCAGCTGGGGCTTGCTGATGTTTGTTTGTTTTTATATAAAAGTGTCCTAAAGCTGTCAAGGTGAAATGAGACAGAAAACAGATGCCCCTCTAATTAGGGAGCCCTGCAAGTCATTAGTCCAATGGCTCCTGTCCAATTAACAGGCCCATTTGAGCTGCAATCAGACGTCCTGAAACCCTCGAAGAGCAGCAGTGACTCCACGTCTGAGGCGATTGCTCTCTTTTTTGGATCCCTCATAGTGTTTTTTTTTGGGGGGGGGGTTGGCAGAAATTCGACCAAAAAAAAAAGATGACTCATTAACAAGCACAACGGGAGCCTTCTCTCTCAAGCCTTGAGAGCTCACAAGGTCATCAAATGACAAATGGACCAAACAGATCCCTGTTCACTGGCTCCCTTCATGTGGGAATCCTGCTAGTTCCAATCCTGCGCTCCAGGGTGGTCCACTGGGGGCTCTTCTGGCTTCGGCTGCAAAGCAGGGAGTGGAGAACCAGCTTCGTGGCTCGGGCCCCTTCTTGTTGCCGGACCAGGTCCGGCAACCTCAGAACAGGAAGAGAGATCTGTTGGACTGGACCTTGATGCCAGGGATTCATGACAGAGATTTTGAAGGCCTGCTTTGAATAGATCTTTAGTCTCTTTATTTCTGTAGCACCTGCCAAAGCAAAGGGCGGGAAATGAAATCCCAGCATCTCTCAAAAGCTTTGCCGCTACAGAAGCTGCTTCCATCGGTTTGCAGCCTGTCACCTGGGGCAGAATTCGACCATGTGCTGTTCTGATGTTTCAGGGCTCCCTGGCCAATCCCTGGTATGCCCCGATGCCACTCACTGTGAGCTCTTCCTCCATTAGAGAGATCCATTTCTGGTGATCTGTGGCTTGCACCCGGGCCCTGTCAGGCCATCAGTTTTCAATGGGAAGCCCTTTGTGTTCCTCAGATATGGTGCCGGTCCTGAGTCTGCCTGACTCCTCAGATGGTCTCCGCTCAGCGCCTTCTCACAGCAAGGCTGAGGCTGATGTTTTGGGAGTCCCAGAATCCCACGAGTCACCCTGGGTGGGTCTGGGAGCTGCCATACCACCCAGAAGCCCCCCCTCTCTCCCTCCTCTGCCGGCCGACCGACCGACCACTCGCTCGCTCGCTGGTGGTGTGGGCGCTCTGGCAAAAGCCTGGACGGGTTATTTTTTTCCTGGGTGGGGTTGCCCTCCTTGCCAGCTGGTCCAGCTGCGACTGAGTGACCTGACTGCCCCCCCACCCGTCTCTCTTCCCCAGGCTCTTTGAGACCCACCCGGAGTGCAAAGACGCCTTCTTCCTCTTCCGAGACGTGGATGACCTGCAGCAGCTGAAGATGAGCAAAGACCTCCAGGCCCACGGCCTCAGGTGGGAGAGGTGTCAGCAGATGGTCTGCTTCAAAGTATGACTGAAACGATCTGGAGTCAGGTGGTCAATACGGGGTGTGGGGGGGTGGGGGGGTTAATTCCCAGGAAGCAGGCATGGAAAGGAAACCCACCCACTCACCCACCCAACATCGCTGCTGAGACCTCAGGCTTGTATCCAATACAGGGAGCTCAATTTCCCACACTTATGTCCTTGGACAACTACAAGTTTTTCACAAAAGCATCCTCAGTTCTTGTCAAGATTCCACATTTTGTTAGATAAGGAAGAACATGAATTCTTTGCTTCTTGAACTCTCCTTGTAAGAGAGACTGCCAGGCTTCATTAAAAGCCCAATACAAAATGTACTCTACATGGGCTGAAATTTTAGTCCAGCAATCATTTGCAGATGTCAGGCATGTTGAACGAATGTTGCCTATGACGTAATGTCAGGTTTTCCACAGAAATCTTTTTCTTTTCTTTTCTTTTTTCTTTTTTCTTTTTCTTTTTTTCTTTTTTTTGGTACTTCAGACAATGAGTGAATGCCGGATCTCTCAAAATGGCAGTTTCTATCTGCTCTGAGAGAGACAAACTGGCTCCCAGTGCAGGGGGGAACATCACTCTTTCCAGTCCCCAGTATGCCTAATAGAAAAGAAGGGAAAGGGCACCCAAAGAACCATTTTTTAAAAAAAAAATTCACATTAGGTTTATTACAGGTCTGATGCAACCCACTGTGGCCACCTGGGGTGCTTTGGTGAAGGGTCCCAGCCTCTCTGCCCCATTCCCTCAGCCCCCTACCCCTCGCCTCAACCCCGCCAGGCAGCAGCCCCTGGGCCCCTCTGCCCTCCCCTCCAGCCCAGGGGAAGTGTAAGGATTCTGCACCACGTCATGTTCTGAAACCCCTGTGACCCACCTGGATGACCTCTGTGCCCCTCCCAGGTACATCCACCTGCTGGTTGAGAACCCCTGATAGATGACTCTCTTTTTTGCCCCCCCCCTTGCTCCAGGGGGCCGCCCGGGTCTCTAGCCAGGGCTTCCCCCCCCCCTTTGTCTGCTCAGCTGGCTGGTCTCCACATACCTCTGGTTGCTCCACTATTGGGACTTCTCACCTGCTTTTCCTGCCCCCTCCCTCCCTCCCTCCCTCCCGCCATTGCCAGGGTGATGTCCTTCATTGAGAAGAGCGTGGCCAGGATGGACCAAGAGGAGAAGCTGGAACAGCTGACCTTGGAACTCGGCCGGAGCCACTTCTGGTATCAGGCTCCCCCCAAGTACTACGAGGTAAGAAGCCGGTGAAGCTGGACAGGTTACCGGGTGGCGATGGATCACGGCAAGCTTCTAGCGCTGGCTGGGGCCGTTGCTGTGGGTGGCAAATCGTGGGGGGGTGGCTAAGTGGGGGGACTGCTGAGGCACTTCCAACCCAGGGAAGAAATCTGGCACGTCTGCGAGTAAGAGCAGCGCAAGAGAGCCCGCTGCGAATCCTTCCTTCATAAGGACACCTCTCCTCCTTCTCTTTAATTCCAACCCGCCCACCCTCAGTACATTGGGACCCAATTCATCCAAGCAGCCCGACCCATTCTGAAAGAAGAGTGGACCTCGGAGGTTGAGGAAGCCTGGCAGGTAAACCACCCCTTTGCGAGGTGAATGCTTTGTTCGTGTCATTGGCCCTTGTCCACCCCCACCCCCCAAATGATTCCCTGGGTGGATTCACTTCCATCATCCAGATCCCCTGCCTTAAGCATGTTTGGGGCTGGGGGGGTGGGAAGGAGGCACCAGGGGGGGTGTATGCAACACCCCCAGGAGAGAGGTTTCCCGACATGTCCCTTCAACTTTTGCAAAAGTTGGCTTTAAATATATGCCTGGCATTTGTCTGTTTTATGGAAGGAAGAGGTTTAATCCATTCCACACCAAGCTATTGGGCACCCTGGCCCCACGATCTCTACAAACGGCACTGGGCCGTCTGGTCAGCGGCCAGACCTTGGTGCTGTGGTACGGGGGGGGGGCATTGTGCCGCTTGCCTTGGGACGGTGGGTGGGAGGTTTGGCCTCTGGTTCCGTCACAGTTGTCTGCCCAATCTGCAGCCCTTCCCTTCCCCACTACCCTCTCGCACACACACACACAAACAGCAGAAGCTTCTCCAGCCCTTGGGATGCCCCACTGCAGATTCCTCCCAAGGCCCCTTTCCTTAAAGCTGGCAGGAGGAGAAGGAGTTCCCGAAGGGGTGGCCCCCTTTCCTCCCCCAGCTGTGAAAGGTCCGGGGTGGGAAAGGTCAGGAGGTGTTCTTCCTCACCCTCCCTAGGACGGCCCTGGGCAAGGAGGGTGAACCAAAAAGGCTGTTCTCTTCTCCCGGACATGCACTCCGGGTGGGGGTGGAGGGGGTGCCTTCAGTTGTGTCACATCTCCCCCCCCCATCTGCAGGCCAGGAACACCTGCGTGTGCGTGCACAAACAAGGCTCTCCTGCGTTTTGTGTTCATGCAACCTGTTCAAGGACAGGTGTGTGTGTGTGTGTGTGTGAGAGAGAGAGAGATCTAAATCTTTGGGACAGTTGTGGCACCCTCTTCAAAGCTTCGCCTCCCCCTTCAGGCCAAGGGCCCCCCTTCCTCTTAGCTTTCCTGGGTTCCTCCAGTCACAGTCAACTCTGCCTGCTCTTTCCTTCCTTCTTCCCCAGAGTTTGTTCCAATACCTGGTGGCCACCATGCGCCAAGGCTTCTACGCAGAGGAGAGGACCACGTGGGCCAACCCGTCCCTTCACTCAAGGAAGGCTGATGCTGGATCCGCTCCGGACAGAGCCTAGCCAGAGTCCTCTACCCAGGAAGGGGAGGCAGCCAGTGGCAGAAGCCTTGCCAGGGCCCCCCCCACCCCCACCCCTGCAGCTCCTTTTCTCTTGCATGCAATTTCTGGGCGAGGGGGCAGGGAGCACCCGGATGGCGGCGGAGGCTTCCTCCCTGCTCAAGCCAAGGTTTCCCTGTAGGCTGGGTGGCAGAGACTTGGGGTTCTTAAAGGGAGGACCAAGCGCCCCTAAGTTCCTTTGGAAGGCCAGTTCTGGACAGGAATATTTATACTTGAAAGAGGGCATCAAAGAGGGAGAGAGAGAGAGACCAGTCTTCAGTTGACCTTCAAGGTCTCCACCCTGGTTTTAATAGAGATCAATTTCCATTGAACAGAGGCATCTACATAACCCCTCTTCAAGAGAGACATTTAAATAAGCAAAGTTAAATATTTGGAGATCAAACCCAAACAAAGCATATAGATAAAATGAGCAAACTTCCAATGTTTAAATAACATTTGAAGACAAAATTGTAATCTAGGTTTTACGAAGCATCTGCCGAAGAAATAACAAACTGTTTATATTCCCAATATTATGGTGTATCCACAAGAGTCGCTGTGACCCACAGAGGCTCCAGAGGAAAACGTTTTGATGGCTAACAAGCCCTCTTGGTTCCCTCCCAGTTTCTTCACAAATGCAGGGCTTAAGAGTAACCAAGTTCCACCAGGGTGCCTGTCCCCACCCTCCCGCAAACCAAAAGAAATAATAAAATCCTATTTGGAAGGTGTGTTTGCAGGAGGATCCGTTGCCGGCCTCACAAGCGTTCTGGGTCCCTGGTAGACTAAAACTTTTTTTCTTTTTTATGTGAGCTTCCATGGACAATGGCTGACTTCATCAAATGTTTGCTGCCCACAATTCCAGGTATACCTAGATAAAGGTGGGGTTATAAAAGGGGAGGTCTCGTCTTAATGTTCTCCCCTCCTCCGACCCATAAATGCTGTGCGTCTTCCAACCCTTCAAGACACCCCACAGGCATTAAATATGGTCCCAGAGAATCGCAGAGCCATGGCCAACCTGACCACTGGCGCAAAGGAGGGGGTCCCCAACTGCCACCCCCTGCCCTCTGTTCACTTGATATGGTGATCAGCCCAAGCCCTCTCTAAAGCCCAGTATTCGAGTTCTGCTTTGTCTCATCATATACTCCCCTTTCTCACCTCTAAGTGTGCATGTGTGTCCGAGGTTGCACTTGGGAGATGGGAGACACCCCTCACTGCCCAAAACCTGACCCCTTTGCAGACACATTAAACTCAGAATAATCCCTTTAAAGAAAAATTCTAACTTCCTCATTTATAAATAAATGTGGGGCATTTCCTCCTATACATTTGGATGGAGTTTACTAGCTCTGTGTGCACTGTGGTCCAAATGATGACCTGGAGTCCTAGAAAGGAGACACCCTAATAAACATTTATTATGTGCTAAGACTCATTTATGTAATACCTAATTAAGACGAAAGTTTTGCCAGGAGTATGGGCAGGACAAGAGCATATGGTGGCTGAAATCCTCTTGCTTTGTTACGCAAAAGGTATAAAATGTAATAACTCCTAGCCAGCAGTTAATGAATCCCCGCTGGGATTTTCCAGTGTGCACAAAGCCAATGAGTGAATGCTTGTGACCCAAAAAGTCCCAGCGGGGACTCATTAACTGCCAGCTAGGAATGATGGGATTTTATGCCTTTTGCATAAGGAAGAACCAAGACTTCTGCCAGTGAGTGCATCCTAAGAGCTGGAATTCCCATTCAAAGGTAGAAAAGACCCATTGATCCTAACATGGTCTAAACTCAATCTACATTTTACAGATTAGCTTGGTTTGTGTGTGCGTGTGTGTGTGCGTGCGTGCGTGCGTGCGTGAGAGAGATATGGGTGATCAAGAAATAAACACACAAGTCATTTGCATGTCCTGTTTTCCAGCTCTGTACCTTTGAAGGCTCTGTGTACCTGGAAATAAAATTATAGTAAGTGAAGAAAATAATGCATTTTCCTTTGCAAGCCATTTGACTCCCAAAAGGGTCTTCACAAGATTGTTTCCTTTTGTCAATTGACTTTATAACAGAAAAGTTGATATATTGGTTTCACAGACAAAATACCTGCCGCCTCCTGTACCCAGTTTTAAAAAAGGAATGTGCAGATCACTGTCTCTGCATCTAGTTAAGTAATGGGATTGTGAGAATACAACTGACAGTGGAGGAGTGCAATTTGTGTGGCTGAAGGCAAATTTAGCATTTAATGTATGGATGTAGTATTTTCCCCCACTCCAGCTGTAACTGAGGGCCAGATGTTATATTACTGAGAACACGTCCTTGTAGGAGGAAATGCAACCCCACTGCACCCTTCAAGACTTACAGAAATGTCACAAAAAGAGCCAGGATTGTCAAATCCTGCTTGTGGGACCTCTTTCCTTCCTGTTACTTGGAATTACTCAGTTTTCTCTGGAAAATTGGCCTTTGAAGTCTTGGCAATGCTTGTGAAAAAAAAAAAAGGAACAGCTTTCTGACAGGAGAGGGATCATCCTGGCAGGCCTCGTTGGCTTGAAGGGAAAGGCAGTGCACATTTTGGAAGCCTCCCCTTGTTTTGGTGCCAAACAGTCATCGTGAAGCAAGAGAGGTGTGGCGAAGGTCGTGAGCCCTCCAAACTTCCAGCATGGGGCTTTCCACTCTCCGTGCGGGGAAGGCAAGGAGCAGGAGGAAGAAGACGCCGGCCTTTGGGCTAGCAAGCAGGGACGAGGAAGGGCGGAAGGAGACATTGCTCTCTGACGGGACCGTTTTCGTCTGCCACCTACAAGAAGGGCCCGCCAGGACCTGCTGGGCGCTGTATATGGCTACTTCCCAGTAGGGAAAAGGTACGTAGAGCAGGCGCCTCTTCCTCCTTCCGGGAGCTTACCTTGCAGTCAGGGAGAGGGGGGGACAGGCAGCCGGGGGGGCAGCTTGGGAGATTTGGGACATGCTGGAGATGTCTCGGAGTACAGTATCTTGAGGCAGAGCATGGGCCAAGGATCCTTGCCATCCGCCACACAACAGGGTCTCTCATCCCGCCTGCTTCTAGCCCCGGAACAAAATCCTCCCCCTTTCTCTGCATCTCACGTCTCAGGAGCCTCAGTGCACATGAAGGCGGTCTGCCAGCACATGCGTTTCTCTCCTGGGGAAGAAGCATCTTCAGCTGTCAAGTCGTCAGCTGTCGAGTGTGCAGAGAGCATGTGGTCAACTAACCGTTTCAGGGATCCAGCTTGGAATTCAAGAGATCCACCAGAAGGGATGGAGAAGGACAGAACTGTACAGGTGGGGCTGAGAAGATTAACGCTAGGGAGGACCTGCCTATAAATTGGCGCTTTGTACCTTTCAGTTCGGTGGGTGGGGGAAGAATCTCCTCTGAGAGTCTCTCATACTCTGAACAGATCTCTTGGAAGAGTTGTGTAAGGACTAGACTATGCCACAAAGAAGACCACTGTCACAGGAATTGGGAAGGCTCTCTCTCTCTTTTTTTTTTTAATAAATCCCAACTATGGTTAAAAGTGAACTTCTGATGGGGGACTAGTTTCATAGATGGAGGCTTAACCTACCTATCAACCTACCAACCTTCCTTCCTTCCTTCATCAGTTCAGCTGCTTCTTTTGAAACTTCTAGAAGTGTTTTTGGGATAGCCCATCATCGGTTGTAGCAAAAATTGCAAAAAAAACTCAAGGTACGTGAAAGCTGTCTGTCTCTGAGAAGCTATACCCCTCTCGCTAGTTCCTTTTTAGTATCACTTTCTAATCAAGTCAATTTCAACTTGCGGCAACCAAGCGAAAGGGTTTTGCAAAAGAGAACTACAGTTCATCCCTACGAAAGAAAGAAAGAAAGAAAGAAAGAAAGAAAGAAAGAAAGAAAGAAAGAAAGAAAGAAAGAAAGAAAGAAAGAAAGAAAGAAAGAAAAAGAAAAAGCATGGTTGTTGTGGGTGTTTCGGGCTGCTTGGCCGTGTTCTAAAGGTTGTTCTTCCTGATGTTTCGCCAATCTCCGTGACCGGCATCTTCAGAGGACTGGAGTAAGAACTCTGTCCATGGACAGAATTCTGACTCCTGTCCTCTGAAGATGCCGGCCACAGAGACTGGCGAAATGTTAGGAAGAACAGCCTTCAGAACACGGCCAAGCAGCCCGAAAAACCTACAACAACTATTAAATCCCGGCCGTGAAAGCCTTTGCGAATACAAAAACTAAGCACTTGCAAAAGGATCTTAGATTTTAAGGGTGTGGTTGAAATCTCAATCTAAACAAATCTGAAACTGGCTCAAGCATTATGGCACTTATAAAGAAGCTTACAAACTACGATTTTGTCAGAGTGCAGGGGATTATGTGGCCAAAAGCCTAAACTGTTCCATAGTGTTATAATTCCTGGAATATCTCGGCTGTGAGTGTAACATTGGAGCAAATTAAATCGGCAGTGCAGTCTGAGAACAGCAAACAAGGGAGGAAATGGAGCTGCATTGGCAGATCTCTTGAGATTCGCTCCTATCGGTTACGAATGCACACCCACGCAGGAAAATATCTCTTGGGAGCTGTTTTACAGAGTGCCTTCTCCCTCCGAGCAGCACTGGGCTTATTCGGTGGTGGGCAAGGTTCCTGGGCTTCTCCCCACCTCTTGGCCACTTCTGTTTATTCCAGGAGAGTTCAGAACCACCTAACCATGTGGCTGCTGTACACGCAGAGCTTCTCCGGAGCGGCATGAGGCCCAGCAGAGCCAGAGAAATCCCGCATCCTTCAGCCTCCTCCTCCTCTTTGCAGAGCCTTTACCATTTCCTCTTGGCCGTGTCCCTCATGGGTCTCTCCACCAGCCAGCCACCCCAATGCCAGAGGGAGCAGATCAGTCTTCTCAGCAGCATGATCCAGCTCCTGGTGAGTGGGCAGTAGGTGAGGTGCCCAGGGGCACAAGAGTAGCGGAGGAGGCAGGATTTCAGAGGGGCTGCCCCTTGGCAGCAAAAGCAGGATGGGAGGCTCCTGGCTTCAGAAAGACCTGCAAGCCCATTCTGACACCCGTTTTATCAGACCAGCGAACACTCCAGCGAGTGACGGCAAGGTGGCCAATGTGTCTACCCAGGGGTGCAGGTAAAGGAGGATGCAGAGGGGAGGCTCCAAGCAAAAGACACGAGGGAAAGACAGACAGTGCTAAACATATCTTTACAAGCAAAGATGGAGGTCAAAATAATTCCAGTGACCCACCCCAAGAGCATAAGCTGGTAGGTTTCCTGGTACCGGAGAATTAGTAGTTGAGACTGTTAGGGTGACTAAAAAATTCAAACCCCAGATTCAAGCCAGAGGAACCGCTTCCATGGGAATGAGTCGGCCAAATCTGGCAGTGGGGGAAGGAATCCTGTTCGGTGCACTTCTAGCAGGAACCGCTCTTCCTCGTGCCCCTGACCCAAGCAGAAGGGGGAAAAAAACAGCCTCCCTGGCTTCATCCTTGCTTTCCAGTCACCTCCTCCAGCCCCCATCTCCACACCAGGTCCCCTGTTGCCCTCTGTCTCTCCCTATTTTGCACTCTTGAGTCACTACGTCTCCCTGCCTCACAACTCTTTGTACCCATGTATCTCTCAAGGGTTTGTCCCGGGTTGGCTGCCCTCACATCCTCCATGGGTGGGAGGGGTGCAACTTTGGCCACATAAGCACAAGCTTAGGGAAACTCAAAACAGAATTTTAAAAAACAATGGCTATGAACGAGATGTACAACATGATAAGATAAGCAAGCAGAGGAGGGGGTGGGACAGCTCCCCCCTGCTTCCCTGTTTTTCTTGACTCTGATCTCTTCCAACGTTCTTTGTCCATCTCCTGGGAAAGCTGAGATAGAAGAGCTTGGCTTCCATGGACTCCCACCATCCGGGGGGGGGAGGGGGGGGAGAAGCACGTTGGAAAACAGGACTCCTTTGTCCATTTGTTCTAACTGTCTGCTGTTGATCTCTCCTTCAGGGCAATTCCAGTGGCGACGGAGCACTCTACACCCCTCAGGATATCACCGTGCGTATCCCCTCCAGACACTTAGCTCCATGACAAAGGGGTGCTGGGGCCAATCTCCTCTGCCACCCAAGAACCTGCAGCCTGGATCTCTCGGTGCCCCTTCTCTCACACAGGCGCGCCGTCTCCATCAGGCTTCTGCCACCGGTTGCCCCCTTCCACGTGCATTCAGCGGCCACTTCCTCCCCCTTAGCCAGGGGCAAGGCTGGCACAGAGGTGACTCACTCCAGCGCGCCTGGGATTGGCTAACTGGGGAAAAGCCAAGAGAAAGAGAGGCCGGATCACGACTGCACAAGTCACACAGCGAACCACATAGGGTGGTGTGTGAAGAGTTCTTGCCCAGACTAGGTCAAACCAGTAAATCAAAACATCGGCATTTTATAGCAGCCCATTTTGTGCATGTCTGTGCACGTGCAGGGCAGCCTCCCTTGTTCTGTGATAAGTGATCCCTAAGAACAGAAAACGTATCCTTATGGGTCAGCTACACAAATGCCATAAAATAAAGAAAGGCATGTCAAAACTTAAAACGAGAGTTCGGGTGCTGGGCGCCCCTTTCTGAATGTCCCTGTGGCGCTTCCACCTCGGATCCCCTTTGCCTCCCTGAATTAAACCAACAGCCCAGGCTCAGAATCCTGTCCCCTCCACGGGACAGCCAGGTGTCTGTGGGAAACTCTTCAGCAAGACAAGAAGCTGGTGGTGGCGGTGGCAGCGGCGGCGCTTGTGGTCCGGGCCTCTCATTTTTCTTTGCTCCCTGCACTTTGCTCTCTAAGTGGGGGAAGCTCCATGAAACCACCGTTCGGATTAGCCTAGCAAGGGATTTCCCTACTTTTAGAACTCACTGGACCTGAATCCTGATTCTTCCATTCTCCCTTTGGAGTTTTTGTTTTGTTTTTTTGGGGGGGCGGCAGGTCATTGGATATTGGGTCCAGATCCGAGACTTGATGGAAAGAGTTGGAATCGTGCAACCTCTATGTGCAAACACCTCCTCCCCACCCACCCCGTGGCCTCTTCTAGACTTTTCTCTGGACATGATTTTGAGTGGAGGAAAAAAAAATATTGGCTGCTCGTCAAAGCCTCTAGATTAAGCAATGATTCTCCTTTTAAATAAGACGCAGCCCCTATTCTACAATTGAAAAATATGGGTGTTTTTAACAAAACTAGATGCAGACATATCCAGCATCTTCCTATTTTTTCCTCGTGCACCCCAATTTTGAGATTTTTAAGGGTAGCAGAACCCAAGGACGTGTGGCCACTGCCCCCCCTTCGCCCCCCCCAAATTCTAGAGAGAGATGCAAGCCAGGCTTCCCGAGTCCACGCGGAGAACGCACCCTCGCCTGCCCGCCCTTCATCCTCTGCCCTGCTGTGTCCTTAGGTCTGCTACGCCGACAACCTGAAGTGCTTCTACCTGGAGCTGCAGGTGATGCTGGAGGAGCAAGAAGAACACAAGGCGCTCCTCTCCCGGCTCATTCTCCGTTTGGGGAAGAAGCGGCAGGCAGAGGGCTGGATCCAGCGCTGCCCCACTTGTAAGCCTTGTGAGTCTCACCCGAGGAAGCCGATGCTCGCTTTCCTCAAGAAACTCTGGGAGCTCTTCCGGTTCAGCTGCATCACCTCCGACGGCCCCAGGAGGGGGGACTGTCCATCACCCGCCCCGTGAAGAGACATGCTGCCGGCTCGGCACCAAAAGAACATCCTGCCTCCCAAAGCCTTGGGTCACAGTGGAGCCACATGTCTGCCTCAGGCGGGGAACTGGGAGTTCAGCTGCCCCCGGCTGTCTCTCTGGGATCCGTGCCCTCATGGCCAGAGGCACCTGTTTGGCTTGGCCCGCAGGGCGACCGCGCTGTGGACCGAGGCACCGGGGCACAGCCACAAAGAAGACCAGGCAGTCTTGGGAGAAGTTATGTTCCGGCCCTGAAGCAGCAGCAGCAACAAACCTGGCCCCCACCCAGGCCATTCTGAAAGGAAACGCTCCTGGTATTTGGCATCCGACCTTCTTTGCCAGATGAGACGATGGAAGCAAAACAGGCTGGAGCCTGGAACCCAAAAGGCCTGGAAGCAGAACATGGTCCTCCCCTCTCCCCTGCTCCCAGAGACTCCTCCTAACAGCAGTCGGTGCTGAGGATCAGTAAGTATCGCTTCTCTCATCTGATCTGTCACAGGTAGCGCAACGCAAGAAGCTGCCTTAAACAAGGCTATTGACCCATCAAACCTGCTTTGGTTTACTTATGTGGAAGCCCTCCAGCACAGACCTTTCCGTTCATCTCTTAATGGTGCTGGAAAGAGAGATGCAGGCGTCCTCTCTACAACTGAGCCACAATTCCTTTGCGACAGCAGTCATAGATGATGGTCGGGATGCCATGCGAGCGAAACGCAAATGTCCTATTGCTTTACAAATCAAGTCAATTTTTGTTGGTTTGGAATGAGCTGAGTGGCTGGAGCTTCCCTCAGCATTTGGGGGTGGGAGCTTTGCCCATTGAAATTCTAGCAGTTCTAGAGTTCTAAAAGACAAGGCAGAAGATCCACAGGTGCTGTTTTAATTCTGCATACTAGGCAAAGCTGTACCTATTGAATTTCAGGGGCACCACCTGCATCCCCTGGACTTTGCAAAGTCACCCTTGTTGTCCATCATATTGCACCCCACAAGACAATCTGCATCAGTTCTGTGCTCTTTTGAATCAGTGGCAAGCACAGAGAAAAAGCCCAGCCCTGGGCCTTCCATGGAAACTAGCACTCTACCACCCAGGAAGCCAATTGGAGTTTGTTCTGTCTCCCCAAGAGATGCTTGAAAAGCTAATTGAATTCCTGGCAACAACTTCTCTTTCAAAAAACACACACATATATAATGTTTATTTTTTTCTTATGACCGCAGAATTTGTCAAATAGGGCATTGCACTCCTTTCCAATCCCCATGGAATAAACAGAATAGCCAGATGTCTCTCACTAAAAACAGCAGCATTTCGCACCATCATCCTATTCTTTGGAGGATTTCTGCTCCACGTGGGTTCCCTCTAGAGATTCAAACGTCCACGGCAGAGAGATCCCATCTGTCAGGACCTTCCGCCTTTGAGAACCTTCATCCAGAACGACAAAGGTCCCCAGAGAAGGCAATTGTTAAGGTCATAAGGCAGATGCTGACATCTGCATCTTCTGCCCGTCCCACCACAGCTGAACAACCAATCCAGGGCCTTTGTGCTGCTGAGAATTGTATTCCGTCATGAAATTTCTACTGCTCAGTGATTTTAATAGTTTTTAATGGAATAAGCAATTTCTATTCCTGTACCTGTAAGCATCTTTGCTTCTTTGTTTTCCTAGGTGAAAGAAGATCCAGTGGACTGTGGGAGAAATCCCAACGAATTATTCTTTAGGGTCCTGTCTCTTGATTTCCACTCTCTGCCCTGCAATGAGAATTGGAGATGATTTGTTTATATACCACCACCTGTGCCCATGCTGCTCAACAGACTGTCAATAACTTAAAAAAAAGGAGGGACATTTGTCCTTCCTCTCGGTCAGTCGCTTCCAGAATGAAATATTTTAGCAATGGAGAAAATTACAGCTAAGCACCAGGAAGCAGTGGAGAAGGACCTATCTGAACAGGGGGAAACACCAAGAACAAAGCCTGGATTGGACCAGGGAACCCTCACTGCCACAAAAGGTGGATCACTTCCTCCTTCTCACCTCCACCTCGCCAGTCCTGTTGTGCCAAAATAGGATTCCTTGGGGGAAAGGCAACAGAGAACATAACCAATAAACAAGCCCATGAATAACACCACTTGGTTTCCTATTCTCATTTCTGTTGTTGTTGTTTAGTTGTTAAGTCGTGTCCGACTCATGACCCCATGGACCAAAGAACGCCAGGCCCTCCTGCAACCTGACACTGCAGAATAATAACAATAATGTCCTATTTTTCGCCAGGGCTGCTGTCCAGTTGCCTCTAAATTGCCCGTCGTTGTTTAGTCATTTAGTCGTGTCCGACTCTTCGTGGCCCCATGGACCAGAGCACGCCAGGCCCTCTTATCTTCCACTGCCTCCCGTAGTTGTGTCAAATTCATGTTGGTTGCTTCGCAGACACTGTCTAGCCATCTCATTCTCTGTTGTCCCCTTCTCCTCTTGCCGTCGCACTTTCCCAACATTAAGGTCTTTTCCAGGGAGCCTCAGCTTCAGGATCTGTCCTTCCAGGGAGCACTCAGGGTTGATTTCCTTTAGAATGGATAGGTTTGTTTTCCTTGCAGTCCAGGGGACTCTTGAGAGTCTCCTCCAGCACCACAATTCAAAAGCATCAATTCTTCGGCGGTCAGCCTTCTTTGTGGTCCAGCTCTCACTTCCTTACATCACTACAGGAAAAACCATACCTTTGACTATTCGGACCTTTGTTGGCAAGGTGATGTCTCTGCTTTTTAAGATGCTGTCAAGGTTTTTCATCGCTTTCCTCCCAAGAAATAAGCGTCTTTTAATTTCGTGGCTGCTGTCTCCATCTGCAGTGATCATGGAGCCCAGGATGATAAAATTTGACACTGCCTCCGTATCTTCCCCTTCTATTTGCCAGGAGGTGATGGGACCAGTGGCCATGATCTTAGTTGTTGTTGTTTTAATGTTGAACTCCGTGCCTCTATTTCGGGCGTATTATCTCCCTCCCTCCCTCCCTCCCTCCCTGCATCAGGGGAGTCCAGTCGCTCCGCCTGAACGGAGGTCCCCCCCCCCGGCCCCGTGTGCCCGAGAGCATAAACAGGATTGCAAGGGAGCAGTCCCTGACACGTGATCCCGGGGACGTTTTCTCTGAAGGAAACCCCAGCGAACCTTTCTTGGCTACGAAGGCGCAGGTTCTGAGAAACGAGACCCGGCCTGAACGAGGCGAGGCTGACTCCCGAGGAGTGCCGTCGCGGCAAAGGGAAATTCCTCGGAGAACTACAAGTCCCAGAATCCTTCAGACTTGGGAAAAGTCAGCTTTTAGCGCAGCTTCCCAGACCGCCACCCCCTCCCGCGCTCTGCTGGCTGGGGGATTCTGGGAGTTGTAGTCCCCAAAGCAAGCCCCACCTTCTAGCCTTCCGAGTCTACCTCCCCCCAGTGACCTTTAACCATTTCATCGCTTCGGGGGGGGAGCCCAGTCCCAAACCAGCCAATCCGTTCTCTCTACGTCATCCGAGGCCGAAAGGACGCCCCAACTCCGCCGAGCGGCGGTGGCCACGTGACCCGGTCCGGTCCAAAGGAAAGGTCCCTTCCCCACGTGACCGGCAGCGGGCCAACCGCCGCTTCTGGAGGCCACGTTCTCGCGAGGCTTGGCGAGATTTCTCTCTCGGAGCGCAGCCGAGGAAGGAGGAGGAGGAGGGGGCGCGTGAGGGGAGCGGGTCTCGCGCGCTGGCCGGTTCGCGGTTGGTCTTCCCGTCTCTCGTCCCCGCCCGGAGCCCGGTAAGTAAGGCCTCCTCCCCCCCCCTCTCGGGGCTTCAGCTGCCCCTCCCCTCGTCCTCCGGGGCCTGGCCGAGAGCCTCGCGGGCCCTCCTGCCGCCTCTCCGCTTCCCTTCCCTTCCCCCGCCGGTGGAGAGAGAGAGAGAGGGAGGGAGAGGGAGGGAGGCCTGGGCGCCCCGGCCCGAAGCCTTCCTTCCGCCTTCCGGGCCGAGGAAGGGCCTGGCTCGCGTTTAAAGCAGGCGAAGCGACGGAGGAGCCCCGAGGCCCTGGGGACCCTCCCTCCCGGCCCGCCCGCGCCTCTTCCTCCTCCTCCTCCTCCTCCTCAGCGCCCCGGCCCGCCGGTGTCCCGATCGGCCTCAGGGCCTCGAGGCGCTTTGTCGCTCCCCTCCTCCTGTGGGATGACGAGGGGAAAGGATCCGGGCAGGGAAAGGCCTGAAAGGGCGACCTGTCGAGCCAGGAACCAAGCCCGGGGTCAGGAGGGCCCCTGGCGATCTTGATGGGTCTGCCCTCCTGGAGCCTCCTGTCAAACGTGGCCTCCCCTCCCCTCCTCCTGTGGGATGACGAGGATGATGATAAGGGGCCGAGGATGATGATAAGGGGCCTTGGCGATCTTGATGGGTCTGCCCTCGTGGAGCCTCCTGTCAAACGTGGCCTCCCCTCCCCTCCTCCTGTGGGATGACGAGGATGATGATAAGGGGCCGGGGGGTGGGTGGGGGAGAGGGTTGAGAGAGGCTGCTCAGGACGCTCTTTCTGCCCCTGCCCTCCTTTCAGACCCGTCTCTCTCAGGTCCCCTTAGCGGAGGTTTCGGGAAGGAACTCTGCTGGGCGGTGGTGGTTCTGGGGCTTATCCTGAGGAAGCTGCCCCCTTGCGTGGGGCTGGCTGGCGGGGCAAGAGAGCCAGAGGGGGAAGCCGGTGGGTCACCCCTGCGAGGCATGTTCAGTAATTTGCATCTTGCACCTGCTCTAATTCTGCAGATGCCTTCATAGCAGAACGCCTTTCGCTTCCACAGCCACTGGGAAAGTGACCGTTTCCAGCGTATCTGCTCTTCCTTGGAAGCCCAGCAAATTCTCTGCTTCTCCTCTTCTAGAAGTACATCAGTACAGAGGCTGGAGAAACGTCACAGCTAGGTGTCGTATCTTGCAGATGAGAAGGCTGCCTGTGGATCTGGGTGGCTCCAGAGTTTTATTTTTGTTTGTTTGTTTTGTGTCTGGTGGCTTTTTGGCTTGGCTTGGTGTTTTTTTTCCCCCCTTCTCTTTCCAACTCATCAGAGAAAAGTTTCGACTTGACCTGTGAAAGCGGTCAATGGCATCCTTGATTGTTTCCTCATAAATGATGTGCTGTGGTTAGACAGCAGTGTGATAGCATTTTTAAAAATAACGAGCGTTCCTCCAGCAGAGTGGCCTCACTGTGACAGGAATCTTGTCCAAGATCCCAAGCCCCAAAGTTTACACCATGTGCCGTTTGATGTTTCTGCTTGTGGGTTTTCTAACAGGGTACTTTGCTTTTCTTCAGGAGAGGAGAGCGTTGCCAGAATGTCTGACAGCGAGGACAGTAATTTCTCTGAAGAAGAGAGTGAACGCAGCAGCGAGGCAGAGGAGGCAGAAGAGAATGAGGTGAGGCCATGGGAAGGAAGGGGGAAGCAGAAGATGCAGGGGAGCAGAGAGAGAACCTGTTTTCAGGATGGAATGGCTTGAGGCGGAGAGAGGGATTACTTGAGTGGTTCATCTGGTTTATCTTCCTGTGTTCAACTTTTAAGACTTACACATGGCTTAACAAACACTTTTCAGTTATTTACGCTCTCAGCAAAGACAGACTTTATTACACTTGCCTGATGTAGCCTTCCAAGGATTGTAGGGGAACCAGGATCCCGCAGAGACCTAGAACTCTTCTGAGCGCAGGGGCTAGAAACCCGGGCTTGTAAGTTGTGTTCCTGATTTCCATGTCACTCCGCTGTTCCATATCTCAAATGACATGTGGAAGCACGGACATGCAGAGACTGCTTTTTCTGGGCTTCAGATTTTGAGTCAAACTTCTCCCTTAATAAACACTCAGGCAGAAGAGCGTGCCAGTGTTGTAGGCAGTGAGAAAGAAGAAGTGGAGGAAGAAGAAGAGGAGGAGGAAGAGGAGGAATATGATGAAGAGGAGGAAGAGGATGATGATCGGCCTGCCAAAAAACCCAGACACGGGGGCTTTATCTTGGACGAAGCCGGTAAAAGGCTCCCCCACCTCCAGTGTGTTTAAGGCTGCATTGAGAGACATAACGTCTGGTCTGCCAGGGCTGGCTCTTACTTTGCCTTGCCCTCTCCCCCACTTTTTCTTTTCTGCAGATGTGGATGATGAGTATGAAGATGAAGATCAGTGGGAGGATGGCGCTGAGGACATCCTGGAGAAAGGTAAGACCAGTTCTTCCTGGCCAGTATCTGGCATGTAGTCACTCTGGATGCTTCAGCAATACAAATAAGAACCTGAAAGTTTCAGAGTCCCACAGAATTCTTCAGCAGAGCATTTCCTTTAACAAGGAGGACAGGCAGTTCTCAACCCCTTGCTATTCTCAGACACCCATCTAAAGAAGTCAGAGAAACTCCATCCTTAGAACCACCTGCTCATTCTTGGAATGCACCTATTTGTGGGCTGTGTCTCCTTATTTCTAAGTTAGGGAGTCTTTAAGTTGGAAGCCTTTTGAAGCTGGCTGCAATTTCGAAAGCATTTTTGCTTTTCTGTCAGTGCTGGTATTCCTTGTTTTCTTTTTCAAATAAAAAGGATAGAGATGATGGGAACCTCAGTTTTCTTAAACAGATCAACGTTGCCTATAAAAGCTGTGGATGGTGACAGGTTACAAAAGAGATTTCCCAAGGACCTCCTTACTCTGGTGGCACCTGAAGGGAGAGAAAGAGAGAAACAGGCTCCACTTTTTTTACAGCCAACGCACACACACACACACACCCCTCTACCTCCCAGGTCCTGAAGTTTGGCCCGAGGCTGCCCCCCCTTCTCTCGCAAGTGCCCCCCTCCTCCTGGCCTGGTGGCTCCTCTTTTGAGTCTTTGTGCATTTCATTCGCTTCTGCTTGGTTTGTGCCACAACTTAATTTTGTTCCTTCCGCTTTTCTGTTCCACATTCACCCCCACCTTGTGGTTGGTTTTGATGATATTATTTGGCTCATATTTGACTCTCCGCCCTCCCACCACCACCACCAACCTCTCCATGAGCAGAAGAAATTGAAGGTAAGACTGGTTTTTGTGTTTCTCCTCTCCATTCCAACGCCCGTCCTCTTCACCAGCGGCTTTCCTTTCTTTGCTTCTTTTCTGCAGAGCAGGGAGGGAGGGGACGGGCCTGTGGCTAGAAGAGATTGCTCTCCCCTGGTTTGCGTGAAGCAGGATTCCCCCCCCCCACCAGCTGCCGTCCATCAACACTGTGGCCTTCTGATAAGGAAAAGGGCCTTGTGCAACCAACCACCTTGCAGTGGGCCCTGGCATTACAGCCCTTGCCCCTCGGATCCCATTGAGACAAGGCTTAGCAAGGTGCGCTTTCCAGGAGATGGATCCTCAGCATGGCTGCCTCTGCCCCACACCAGATCTGACTGCCCAACCTCTCTCAGAGGAAAAGCACAAGCACTGAATATGGGAGATCATTTCTCTGGAAACTGCAGGAGGGGGTGGCGTGCCCTCTGCCGGTATCCTGTGCTCTGTGTCCTTGAGACCTTTGTTTGTCTCTGCGAAGGGCATCTCCATTTCAGGTTGAAGCCAGTGGCCTTTAGCGTAAGCTAAAGCAGGTCTCGCCTAGGGGTGGTGTTCTTTTCACTGGCAACCACGAAGTGTCAGCAGGATGGATGACGCAGCCATGGCTGCTGATAGCTTTTCCTTGCACAGCAAGAGCTGTTCTAGAATCGTGGTTGCAGCTTTCTGTCTCTCGTTTTCTTTCTTGCCTTTCCTCTTGTTTCCTCTTTTCCTTTGGTTTCTATTAGCAAGTGGAGGTAAGTTGTCAGAGAGCGGTGGACAGTCCCACATTGCAAACCCTTCAGGACCTCCGGACTTTTCTCTCCGGACTCCACCACACAGAGATCTACACTGCCCGTCCGCTCTCTGTTCTGTCTCTGCCTTTCTCCTCCTGGAGTTTAGCAGCCTCTCTTTTCTTCTAGCCTCCAACATTGACAATGTGGTTCTGGATGAGGATCGCTCTGGGGCACGGAGGCTGCAGAACCTCTGGAGGTAAAGGGTTGTGATCCACCCCCCAATTGGGGAGAATTTGCTGTCTCTAGAGGGAGTGTGACAAGATGTGCTCTCAACAGGGAAAGCTGAAAGGGCCCTTCCCCCCCCCTCAGCTGTGCATTTATGGTCTTACGAGAATGAAGATTGGTTGGGGGGGGGGGTTTACAGATTTCCTGCATCAGGTTGCTCCCACCTCCCTGGTCTCCAGAGAGATTGAGTGAGATGGGTAGCAAGGGTGGGTGAATGTCAAGTTCCCAGGTGCTGCATTTTGCTCCCCGTCATTGGCTAAACAAGGACTGGGTGTTCATCACCAGCCCTCATGGAGCACCTCACATGTGGCCGGCAACTGTTGGAACACACAAGCGACCTTCTCTGGGTGTCGTGGGTTGAAAGGGAGGTGGGTTGAAAGGCTGCTTCCCTGCCTTCTCTCCCTGGTTCCGTCTTCTGGGCCAGAACAAGCACAGATTCTTTTGGTCTCTCGGGGGCCTTCCCGTGGCCCTCACCGCTCTTTCTTCCCTCGTCTTCCACAGGGACCAGCGAGAGGAGGAGCTAGGCGAGTACTACATGAAGAAATACGCCAAGTCCTCCGTGGGCGAGACGTGAGTGCATAGCCTGTGCCCTGCAAGGGCCTCAACTCTGACCCTCCTTAACCTGACCCTCCAGCACATACCTTCGGGGCCTTGTCCTTCCTCTGGGCAACCGTGTCTTTTCCCCTTCGTGTTTCCGCAGGGTGTACGGTGGTTCTGACGAGCTCTCTGACGACATTACGCAGCAGCAGCTTCTGCCTGGAGTCAAGTAAGGCCTTTTGAGTCATGCATTATTACCAGCATGGGGGAAGAAGCGTGTAGGGGAGGGCGGTGCCAGAGCAGGAGAGCAGCTGAGCGGCCTCCTGCAAGGAACAGGTTGCTTGTGCTTGGCGGTTAATAGCCTGACTGTGTGGTGTTTTATCCTCTTGCCATCCAGGGATCCCAACCTCTGGACTGTGAAGTGCAAGGTGAGGCCTGCATCAACACCACCAAGCCTGAACCTCAGCTGGGCTTTTATTGGCCGGCTTGCCTGAGCCTTGTGGCCACTGGGCCACCTTGCAGCATCGCCTTCCATTCCAACCTTTCTCTCCCTCCCTCCCTTTTCTCCCACCTCCCTGGTCTCCAGATTGGAGAGGAACGGGCCACAGCCATCGCACTGATGAGGAAGTTCATTGCGTACCAGTTTACCGACACAGTAAGTGGGTGGGAGGCTTTGGAGAGAGGAAAACTTCAGATGCACCAGCTCTTCTTTGATTTTGGGGTTGGCTTGGCGGTCTCGTTTTCCCCACATGTGGGGTTTGGACAAAGAGGCATTTCTTCACGTGGCAGCAGGGGTGAAAAAGGAGACTCGGCTGGAGCCCCAAGCATCCTTTGCGGTTGTCGGTTCTCCATCACTCCAAGCGTGGCCGGCGGGGAGCCTCTGACGACCTTGGGGAGGGAAGTAAAAGCTGGCGCGGCATGGACAGAGTGACCGCACAGCACTTCTCCTCTTGCGGCGCGTGCCCCCCCTTTTCTCTCTGCAGCCCTTGCAGATCAAGTCGGTGGTTGCCCCCGAGCACGTGAAGGGCTACATCTACGTGGAGGCTTACAAGCAGACCCACGTCAAGCAAGCCATCGAGGGGGTCGGCAACCTCCGGATGGGCTACTGGAACCAGCAGATGGTGCCCATCAAGGAGATGACAGACGTCCTGAAGGTGGTGAAGGAGGTGACCAACCTGAAGCCTAAGTCATGGGTCCGGCTCAAGAGGGGCATCTACAAGGATGACATTGCTCAGGTGAGCCCTCCTGAAGGGCACCTGGGTGGAGCAGAGCAATCTGGCTTGTACCAGCCCAACAGAAATCCTGAGAAAGTTTTTGAAGATCCTGGGCCTTTAGAAGTGGAGAACCAAGTGCATTGATTGACCTGAATTGTGTTCTCTCTTATATGTTGGATGCAGCAAAAACAAAAAAACCCCGTCCGGGGCTGTTTGTTCTCCTCTCCTTCTGTTAGGTGGATTATGTGGAGCCGAGCCAGAATCAGATCTCCCTGAAGATGATTCCACGCATTGATTTTGACCGCATCAAAGCACGCATGAGTTTGGTACGTTCCTGGCCTAGGATAAGGGGCAGGGGAGGCTGTTCTCCTGATTATTTCACTGGGCCTTACCCAAAAAAAACCCGTCGGGGGCTGTTTGTTCTCCTCTCCTTCTTTTAGGTGGATTATGTGGAGCCGAGCCAGAATCAGATCTCCCTGAAGATGATTCCACGCATTGATTTTGACCGCATCAAAGCACGCATGAGTTTGGTACGTTCCTGGCCTAGGATAAGGGGCAGGGGAGGCTGTTCTCCTGATTATTTCACTGGGCCTCCCTTTGGCCTTCCTGGTGAGTCCTGGCGCCCGGTCCAGGCTGTGAGGGTCTCTTGGCGGAAGAGGTATCCTCGTTTAACTCTTCACAGAATTAAACTAGGAAATAGTGGCATTTAGGAGCTGGTGTTCTGTTGGCTTTCTTTCGTAATGAGGTTTCACTGGTGCTTTGGAAACAGGTGTCTCATTTTAACCTCCTCCTCTGCAAAAAGAGCTGTTTTGTTCATCACCGGTTCTGGAAGGTGCGGCACAGGCACTACTGCCAGCACCACAGCCCCCCCCCCCGCCCGGTCCTGACCCCTGCGTTGACTTTGCTGGTTCTCTGCTTCCGTTGCAGAAAGACTGGTTTGCCAAAAGGAAGAAGTTCAAACGTCCCCCGCAGCGTCTCTTTGATGCAGAGAAGATCCGGTGAGTGGCTTGAACTGCGGGCATGGGGTGGGGGCCATTCCAGGGCACAGCTTGGAAGAGCCACCGTGAAGGCTAATTCTCTCAGAATCTTCTGACCACTCTTGCTGGCGGTTGTCCTGACTGAAATGCCAGGAGTTGGAAAAGAGTCCAGAAATAATTTCTTCTACGTTCTGGTCCCGCTTGAGGAACATGGGGGGGGGGGGCAGAACACAAGAGAGATTATTTCTGGACTCTTTTCCAAAAAAAAAAAACAATCCAGGAGAGGGGTGCCAGCCGAGCCCCGGACGTGGCAGGCTGTGCAGGGCTGGGGCGACACCTCCTGCCTGACATGCTTTCCTCCTCCTGCCCCTTTCTTTCTTTCCGTGCCAGGTCGTTGGGCGGTGATGTGGCCTCTGATGGCGATTTCCTCATCTTTGAGGGGAACCGATACAGCCGGAAGGGGTTCCTCTTCAAGAGCTTTGCGATGTCAGCTGTGGTGAGGATTAGGACCTCCATGGCACACAAGGATGGGGCTTGGGGGGCTTTTAGATTAATGTCCTTCCATCCCAGAGCGGGCTAAAGGGCAGCCCTCCAGGCAACAATGGATGTAGCCCCTCCCCTTGGGCTCTGCTGGCTGTGGCCCTTGGAAATTACAGTCCACTGAGGTCCCAAGGAGGGTCCCCACCCTCTGCTGTAAAAGAAATGCCCACAGGCTGGGAACGCGGAAGCCCCAGGAAGGGGCCTTAAGCCTGGCCAGATCATGGGTCCATTTGGCCCTTCAGTGGGTGGCCAGGGGCCTTCTCCTGCCGTCCGAGGCCAGGTCCTTTCAACCGAAGGCTCTGCCCCTCGGTCGTGTGCAGGCAGATATTGTACTCTGTGCAAGCTCTGGGCTGCGCTGAGTTGTCGTAGGGGGGCCTCATGGTTCCCTCCAGCGCTGCAGTGTTCTTGATAAACGACTCAGAAATGGAGCCGCTCCCAGAGCTTGAAGGCTTGAACTGAGAAGCTGCTCGAGAACCGTTTAGGCTCTGTCTGTCTGGGAGGAACCGGCTCTGGTTTTCTAACCCTTCCATCTGATCATTTTCCTTCCTCCCCCTCCCCCCAATGCCGGATGTATTTCTGGGCATCAGATCACAGAAGGAGTGAAGCCCACCCTGTCTGAGCTGGAGAAATTTGAAGACCAGCCTGAAGGCATCGACCTGGAGGTGGTGACAGAAAGCACAGGTGGGGAATTGGGGCCCTTCTTGCCCACATGGCCTTTGGCTTGTATCACTTGCTTCTCCAGAGCAAGAAGGTGGGGGCTTAGCCGTGCCCAGGTGGTTCTTTGGCCCCCTCTGAAAACCATGCTGTTTTCAGTGGGCAAACATGTAAAGCCTTGTCCTCTCTTGGAGGAGCCGGGAGGGCTGGCTGTGCTCCTGCCTCTGGAAAGAAGGGCTCGGGTGCCGCCGCCGGCGGCTCAGTGCCCCTTCCCTTCCATTGCTTCTGGCCGCTTTAGGGAAGGAACGGGAGCACAACTTCCAGCCCGGTGACAATGTGGAGGTATGCGAAGGGGAGCTGATCAACCTCCAGGGTAAGATCCTGAGCGTGGACGGCAACAAGATCACCATCATGCCGAAGCACGAAGATCTCAAGGTAGGGGCTCCTGGGCATCCTGCTGGCAGCCTGGCCGGGGAGGTGAACCAATGGATGGCTTGCTCACAAAGGGGCCTCTGACCACAAATGGAGACTGCACTTTGACTCCCACTGGCAGGGTGTGGAGATCCTTGGGTGGCCACGGAGACACACCCACAGAGCAGCAGGCTGCCTGGGGCTGTAAGCCAGGAGGGCCCCATCCTGCTCCTTGGAGTCAGCCCTCTCTCTCTCATGAGCACAAGAGGGTGGGTGGCGCTGCTCTCCCGTCCCGTAGGCACAGGTGCCTGATGGGGCCACAGAGTGATTGGAAGGTGGGACGGGAGGTCTGCCAAGATCCAGCTTCAGAGCGCTCTCTCGTTCTTCTAGCCTCCTTTGAGCCACTTGCTGCATCAGGGGATGCTCTCCCCTCTCTGAAATCTTTCTGTGTGTTTGTGAAGGTCCACAGTTGAGCCCAGGAAGCCTTTCACTAGCCAGCCATGTGCAGCGCTCAACCCCAAGCGGGTGAAAGAATCCACTTCCATAAAGCAGATCACCTTCTTCTTTGCAGAAGAAGAGACAGGTGGCTCTCCTTGGCGCCTAGAGCGCCTCCTGCTGGAGCTGACTCAGCCCCCTAAGCCCTGAAGCCTGCGTCTGATGGAGACGTGGTTCCTGGCAGGCCGATGAATGAGTGATGCTCCCGCTGTGTGTCCTCTTTCATGGTCAGCCAGTGGCTTTCTGAGATCTCAGGGGGCAGGCGGGGGGGGAAGGGTCTCTCCCATTCTCCCTGCCCTCCTTCCCTCCCCCGGTTGCCCCAGATCTTTAGGTGGTCTTGGAGGTGCTGAGACCAAACCAGGGCCCTGCCTTTGGATCCTTCAGGAGCTCTGCCGTTGAGAGGGGCCACCCCTGTTCCTCCTTTTCCTTTCCGAAAGGAGAGCCCGCCTGGGGACAGGAGCCAGCAGCTGCCGGAGCGGGCCCTCCTCTTCCGCCAGGCAGTAACAGGAGCCTTCTTGTGAGCTTCCTCTCCTCTTCCTCTTTTCCCTTGTTCCCTTTTTCTCCAGGACATGCTGGAGTTCCCAGCCCAAGAGTTGCGCAAATACTTCAAAATGGGGGACCATGTGAAGGTGATCGCGGGGCGCTTTGAGGGCGACACAGGACTAATTGTACGCGTGGAGGAAAACTTTGTCATCCTCTTTTCGGACCTCACAATGCATGAGGTGAGTGACAGGATGATACAGAAAAGGGGCGGGGCTCTGGTGGCTCACGTGGATCTTCCTGGGCCACAGAAATTTCAGAACTAGCTCTTAAGTCATTTGGAAGCTTGGTTCAGTTCTTGGTGAATCAGAAAACTTGGCTCGCATTTTGCAGCTAAGGACCAGAAGTCCTGGGAATGTCTTTCCCAGGAGGAAGGGCAGCAGAACCATCCGGGTAGGTGGAGGTGTGGCATTTTCAGTGTATTTCCTGAAGAGAGGAGCCGAGGCTTTGTAGCCTTTATTGGAGCTCCAGAACCCACAACCGGTGCCAGGGAGTCCCTAAGAAGGACTAGGGCTAGGGCTAGGGCTGGCCGGGTCGTCCTCTCAGCCTGTCCTTGTGGCCCAGGTGTTATTTGACCAGCTCTGGCCTGTGAATGGTGTTTAGGGCCGTGTCCGCTGTTTTTGTGTATAGGTGCACACACGCCCCATCCCAAAAAAGCACACCTGCACCAAAGATACAACGTTCCCTCTAAGCTGCACATGCGCACAGAGCGACATCGAGAATGCCCACCAGCAGCCAGTTTGTTTACTTCCACTTTCAGATGAAACCCCGCCCTCCCCCAGAGCATGCATGGGGCAAGGCGCCCGTGCAGCCGGGTGGGAAATGACAGGGAATGTTGGTTACCTCTTTTGCTGACTGGGCTCAGTTGACTCTTTGGTCTGTTTTGCAAGTCAGGAGCCAGGAGGAGGTGTGCCGCCCTCTCCTCTCAGAAACAGAAAATGCTTCTCTGAAATCTGAGACCTAAGCAAGCTTTGGAGGCAGGCTGTCAAAATGTGTTTTCACAGCCGTGAGGGAGGGCTAGAAACAGGCTTTTAAAACCCATGACTCAGAGCTGAATCTCTTTCCCTCGGTGGAATTGTTGTGTATATGTTGGCCTGGTTCTTATTAAGATGCTTGTTTATCCCTTTCAGCACTTTGAGGGTAAGCTGTGCTGCTCTGGCATCATATGTATCGGTGTGCTTCTTTTAAGAGTGTTTCTGTCCAATGTCCCACAGATCTGGATCCCCTCCTAGTGCTGTGTCCCCCCGTCCCGTCCCGTCCCCCCCGTGCTGCACATCCAAGTATTTGGCGCGGGAACATTCTGTGATGCTGTAAGACTGGTTTCCAGCCCTGGGTAATCCCAGTGTTCTTGGACTGCAGTTCCTAGAATCAATCCTTTGCCGCCAGCTGTGCCAGCCAGAGTTTCTGGGAGCTGCAGCCCAAGGACACCTTCGTGCAGTTTGTTCTGTAAAAGCCAATTGCCTTCTTTGAGGCTGTAAAGATTGGAAACAGAAAATGTCCGTGTTGGTGCTGCTGCCACTGAATGTCAAAGGAGCTTAGTGACTGGTCCTTCCTCTATTTTATTTGTTTATTTAGACGTTCCTAATGCAAAAAGTAAAAGTACGTTTTCAAAGTTGGACCCCACCCCCCTCTCCTGCAGCTCAAAGTCCTCCCTCGAGACCTTCAGCTCTGCTCGGAGACGGCCTCTGGAGTGGATGTGGGTGGCCAGCATGAGTGGGGAGAATTGGTGCAGCTGGATCCCCAGACCATCGGGGTGATCGTTCGGCTGGAGCGGGAGACTTTCCAGGTGGGTGTGGGTGCTGCCTTGGCTGGGAGGATTTGTGCAGGGCGGGAAGAGGTTGCACCCCTCCCTGACGCTCTGTGGCTGATGCCTTGGCATGCCTGACATCATCAACGAGGGAGGGGGCACTATGGCACTTTCCAGGCAGACCATTGTATTAATAAAGGACACAGTAGAAGTGTTCATTTGGGATATCTGAACAGTTGCACACGAGAGAATCTGCAGTCTGGGTCATGCTGGTTGGGAAGGATAGGCTCTGTAGTCCAACTGAGCGAAGGGCACCAGATTGGGGAAGGCTGCAGCTGAGTTCTGCCTTAACTGTTAAAGGATTCCGAGAACACATCTTGGCTTTGTGCTTGAGAAACACTTTGGTGGACTGGAGGATTCCAGGAGGAAAATGAAGAAGACATTTTAAAAACAGTCCAAAGCAAGTTTGGCAAAAGGGATCGGTCTATTTTCAGGGACAGTGATTTGCACCTGTTTGTTTTCAGGGTCAGAACAGCTTACTTGGTGTTCAAGAAAGCATCTTAACAACCAGCTGGGCTGTTGGGGGAGGGGTGGCTCCCCAGCGACATAGCCAGAGGGCCTCCGTCTTCTGTTCTGCCCACCATGCCTGCCCTAACCCTGGCTGCTGAAATGTCCACCTGTACTGGACGAAAGGCCTAGGATTCTGGCCTAGGGACCTTTTTTTAAGGGGAGGCTCTTGCACAGAACAAACCCTTTGTCTATGTAGTTTCCCTTTCAGAAGCTCAAGGGTGGAGTCCTCGGGGGCTGAGCTCACGTGCCTGGGTGTCCGACGGCAGAAGGAATTGGTGGCCAGAGGGGGGAAGGGAGGGGTGCCGGTGGAAATGCGTTTGCTTCTCCAGGGAGGGTGTGGGGCCTTGACCCAGGGTGGATCACCTGCGTGGCCTCCTGTTTTTACCAACTCCTCTCCTTCCGGAAACCCTGGCGAAACAGGAGGTGGCCAGAAGGCGCTTCTTCTGACTCCGCCTCAGAGTTGCTGGTGTCACTCGGCTGGATGGGCCCACACCCTCTGGATGGGCGCAGGGCCGCGTCCAGCCCTCCAGTAGCCGTGGGGCAGCTTGCCTTGCGATGTTGGGGAGAAGAGGGTCTCCAGCCGATGGTCTGTCAGAGGTTCTGCCTCGTGTGAGACTTGGCTTTTTACCTTCCCGTGGCTTCAGAAGGGAGGCTGGTGGTTCCCTTCCGAGAAAGACAGCCCCCGCGGGTCTTCCTGCGCCACCGTCTCCCTCTTCCAGCCCTTTGACTCTGAGCCCCCTTTTCTCTCCCGCCCAGGTCCTCAACATGTACGGCAAAGTCGTGACCGTCAGGCACCAGGCTGTGAACCGGAAGAAGGACAACCGGTTTGCGGTGGCCCTGGACTCTGAGCACAACGACATTCATGTGAAGGACATCGTCAAAGTCATTGATGGGCCACATTCGGTGAGTGGGTGGTCTCGGGGGCATCGGCCTGGGGGCTTTCCAAGATTTGTGTGCAGCAGCAGCTCCAAAAGCAGCTGAAGCCCAAGGAAGCTGCCTTCCTCCTCCTGCTGAGCAGCCATCATCCTCCTTCTGATGACAGTTACATGGTTCCAGGAACACTAAACCAAATTCATAGAGAACAGTGCAGCAGTTTGTTAAAAGGAAAATGACAAGCTACCATTAAAAAGATTGGAACAGTGGAATAGTTGGACATTAAAATCCTACTCTGGGTAACAGTCCTTCTCCAAACATCTGAAAGTCAGTAAGCCTCCACTGTTGAGTTTGTTCCACCTTTCAGGGCCACCGCCAGGAAGACCTCTCCTCTTGAGGGCGCTTGATCTTGCAGGGGATGGAGACTGGGGACTGTGAGGCAGGTTTCCTTCCCTACCGGCCCCTGCTTGAGGCAGCCTGGTCCTAGCCTGCTCCCTTTGTCTGCCCTCCTCCTCCAGCCACGAGGGTCAGCCCCCTTTTCTCTCCCTTACAGCCGGAGGGGCCTTTTCTTCCGGTTTTGTGCCCATGCTGTGTAGCTGGCAGGCTGAGGACACCAGGATCCTGTACCTCCTGGCCTCCCTGGGTGACTTGGGCCTCCTCTTCCTCATGCTGCTGTTCCCTCCTCCTTTCAGGGCCGTGAGGGTGAGATTCGTCACTTGTTCCGGAGCTTTGCTTTCCTGCACTGCAAGAAGCTGGTGGAAAATGGGGGCATGTTTGTGTGCAAGACCCGCCATCTGGTCCTGGCTGGGAGCTCAAAGGTAAGGGTCCGTTCTGCCAGGCTTGGCTTCTGGGGGTGCCAGAGTGGGGTGGGGGTGCCCCTGTGCCCTCCGCCACAAGGTGAACACCTCTTTGCCATTGTGTCCAGTTGGGTGGGTCTGGGCCAGAAATAGGAGAGAGACTGAAATGGCAGTGGAGCAGTGCTCAGTATGGTGGCTGGAGGAAGATAAACAGAGAAGGGAAGAGTCAGTTGAGAACTGAGTCAAAATGAAGAAGTAAGATGGCAAATAAAGACAGCAAAGATCAATCAGATGAATTTGAGCTGTATCACGTAATACCGTTTCCCCAAAAATAAGACCTAACCTGAAAATAAGCCCTAGTATGATTTTTCAGAATGCTCAATAATATAAGCCCTACCCCCAAAATAAGCCCCAGTTAAGTGAAACCCCGCTCCCCATCATTGTGTAGCAACCAGAAGATGACATGACTATATTTGAATAAATGTAGATTGTTGTACATGAAAAAATAAAACATGCCATGAAAATAAGCCCTTATGGATTTTTTGGAGCAAAAATTAAGATAAGACCCAGTCTTATTTTCGGGGAAACACGGTAGGCTATAGAATCATCTTCTGTTTCCTCCATAGTAAAAAAGAGACAAAATCATTTGACCTCAGACCCATTCTAAATTATGTTCCTAATTTGCCTTCCGAAGGACGTAATAGAAGCACTCGGCTGTGCCCTCTCTGAAATAGAAGTGGCTCCTTCTGATCTCCTTGCAGCTGCACAAGAGGAGGCAGGAGGGCCCAAGTGCTGATCGTGCACTGCATGGGAAGTGGCTTCTGGCTAAAGGATTTACCCACTGCGGCCTCATCTTTTCGGTTCCCCCCCACCCCGCCAACCAAAGCCACTTTGAAGTTGTGCAAGGGCCTAGCAGTGCTTAAACACAGCAAGTTTTTTCCCACGGCTGCGGTGGAATCCTGGCTGCCGCCAGATAAGCCCTGTGTTTGTTTCTGTGCTTCCAGTTTCCTTCCTCCTTTTTTCCAGCCCCGGGATGTGACCAACTTCACCATTGGCGGCTTTGCCCCCATGAGTCCTCGTATCAACAGTCCCATGCATCCCAGCTCTGGAGGTGAGTTGGGTGAAGGTTGCACAGCCCAGAAACGGAATTGTGTCTGCTCTCTCCTCATTCACTGTGGGAGCCTCGTTGTAAATGGGCAGCACAGCAGCAAGCCAGAAGAAGCAGCTGTGGAAGCTGAGCAGGGTGGGAATCAAAGAGAGGAGCTGGTAGCGATGGGAAAGAATTAGCCCTTTCCAGGGGCACAGCCGACACAACGGAAGAGACCCAGCTTTCCACCCAGAGCCGAGGCACCTCCCCACCCATCCCCAGAAAAGGATCCCTGCTTCGTCTGCTGGGTAAAGTCATTTGCTGTGGGAGCAGGTCATCGCTTGCCATACTGCTTCTCCTTGGTCATGGTTGTCCCAGGAGCTGATTTTTTACACACACACACGCACACACACACACACACGGGCTCCATGTGAGAACGTCAGGATGCAGATGGGACAGGACTGATACACACACACACACACACCCCAAAAAGAAAGTTTTTCCCTCCCCGAGACCCTCTGAGTTGGAGAGAGAGAGAAAGAGAGAAGGGGCTCCGTGTGGGAACATCAGGACGCAGATGGGACAGGACTGATACCCTTGGACTTAGAGGCTGTTTGCAGCCTCTCAGGGGTCCCAGGAGAGGCTGCGGGCACGCAGGCACCGTGTGCCCATCCTCATCCCTTGGGTTCTTTCCAGGGCAACGCGGGGGCTTTGGCGGGGGAGGAATGAGCCGAGGCCGTGGGCGCCGAGACGACTTCATTGGGAAGACGGTGCGGATTTCTCAAGGCCCCTACAAAGGTACAGCCCTTCCCTCTCCTCTCCTCTCCTCTCCCCTCCCCCTGGGGGGCTGCTCTCCCTCTCCAGAGGTTCTCTTCCTGGTCTTTTTACCTTTTGAGCCGAGCCCCGTCCTGTGGCTCTCCTCCTGGACGCGTGGTTGCCCAGGGCATGCTTTGAGCGCTTCAGGGTGTCAAGAGTGGAAAGTCTCTTAGTTCGATTGTTTCCTTTTGGTACTGAGGTGGCTGAACTGAGGAGATGTTTCTTCCAGGCTACATTGGTGTGGTCAAGGACGCCACGGAATCCACGGCCCGAGTGGAGCTGCACTCCACCTGCCAGACCATCTCTGTGGACCGGCAGCACCTCACCACTGTGTAAGAG